GATAAGTTTTTTTTTAAAAAAAAATGGGACAACACCCACACTGCCAAGTTGGGGTCTTCAACATGGGAATAGCTTAATATTATGTGGGGGTGTGTGTTTCATTAAACAAATCTTATATTGTGAATTCAGCCCCTTTGTCTTGCTCTCAGTAAGCATTTTGTGTGGACTTGTTTACCGTTGTGGATTTTGTACGCTGCTTCGAACGGTGATTCACAATCTTTGAAATAAATACAAATGGAGTACCTTTTTAAAAATATTTCCAGAGTCTTTGGCAATAAACAGGGAGGCAGCGGGGATGGGTAAGGGTCTGGGAAAAATACATTACACAAAGTTTAAATCAGTAAATCCAAAAAGTGAGTTGCTTTCTATGAATGGAAACTTATATACCATAGTTTACTATTCCCAATGCACATATAAATAATTGAATGAATACGCCAAGCTTGTAAAACTCTTGGTAGGAGTTCAAATGAATCTTTTAAGTCTTAAAAAGGGTTTTGGTATCCGTGCTACATTTTTATGATATACTGTACTTTTTTACACCAATGATTTGCCTTTGTTTTGCATGGTCTGCCACAGTATAATTACTGGTTATTGCTCAATAGATGTTGGCAATTTACCAGGCTTCACAGACTAACTTTCAGAAACTGCTTGGTGGCATACCAACTTGCCTCAAAAATTGGGCATGTGATTAAATGATCACATAATAGTTTCCATGTATACCAAGAGGCTCAGTGCCCACATTCTTCTCGTTGTCAAAGACATCTGAATTAGCTGCTCAGGGATATCTAATGTGCCCTAAGAGACTGCTAATATGAATTATATGGTCTTGAGTCACGCTTCTGTTCATGCTACGCAAGCCTATAGCCAGATTTTGGAAAGAAGAATTATATTCCATTGGGGGATGACCAAAAAGAAAGAAAAAAAAGATCAAATGCTAATATACTGTAGTTTCAAAGGGTAGCAATTTTTGTAGTAATTTCATACTTATAAAAATGCTTGAATAAACACCCAGAACACTCTTAATGCCAGTCTGGCTTTAAACACTGTGTTGCATGTATTAAAGCTATTTATCCAACATGCAGCCTGAATACCGAAATACTTGCAGGTGTTTTTGGCTTTTCAGACAATTCACAACTTCAACACCTTGCGTGCAGCTAGATTTTCCAGCAGCTTCTGTACAGCAGACTACAAGTAGCCCTCAATGTACATTCATTTAGTGACTGCTCAAAGTTACAACACAAAAAAGTGATTTATGACCATTTTTCACATTTATGACCATTTGTCAGCATCACTCCATTACATAATTAGGAAAGAAAGACTAAGAGACTCCATGGTTTGGAAATCAAAAGTACTTTTACTAATTATAAATGGTAAGCGAGCAGTTGCGAAGCAAAGTCTACTTAATTAGGTGCGAAAGCGATNTCCAAAATTTTTTGAAACCCACCACTGGCATGCACAGAAGCAAAAAACAAGATGGCAGTGCCTATGCCACCACCGATAGAACTGGTTTGGGGGGGGGGCGTGGCAGGCTGAGTTACTACCTACTTGGCTGAACCAGGTCAAACTGGGAGGAACCGACCTCTGCACTGATGAAATAGAACCACACATTTGTAGTTATGGTGCATCTGACCACATGGAGTTGAGAGTGAGGGTTTTTTATACCTTCTCTTGGGCTTTGCACTTGAAGTTCCTGTTCCTGTGCAAGAACATGTATTGTATTGGCTGTTGTCAGACTCCCATGGGACCATGTACAAATCCTAGGAGTTTGTCTGAGCTAAATTTGGTTGAAGTTTGAACTGCTAGGGCGGGTGCAACTGAGATGATGCCATGGAGGGGCTTTGGGCAATTCCTATTGTAGCTGAGGGCTAATCCTACCTTTGTTGGAACTTGGGTGAGGGTATTTGTTATGAATAGAACTAGCCAGGAGTGAGCTGCTATGGGTTCGCCCTGGTTCAGGAGGACCCGTAGCTAATGTTATGGCCGGTTTGGAGAACCTCCAAGTTATATAGTGAGGACTACCTGCGATCATCATCTCTTTTTAATGACCCCATAATCCCTTGCTTGGTGGAGTCTGGGCAACTGAAGGCAGCTGAGTGTTTACTGGCAGGATGCCCTTCCTGTTACCAATGCAGAGTTATATTCAGCAGATATATTCTCATCGGGCACACAGAAAGAAAAATCTGCCTCTACTTAGGATCGAACTCACAGCCTCCTGATCGTGAGGCGAGAGCTCTACCTCTAGGCCACCGGACCACCTGAGGACTACCTACAATCACTGTGATAAATTATTTTCTATTCAAATTAATGGATTCTGCATTTCCGAAGCACCAACTCTTAGAAGGGGTGCCAGGCAGGGGTGGGATTCAGCCGGTTCTCACCGGTTCTCACGGTTCGAGCAAACCGGATGTTAATTTTGCATCCGTTTTGTCAAACTGGTTGTTGCAAGGATCGGCTGGCCCTGCCCATCCCTTCCCTCCCCTCCTCTCCCCTCCCAGGAGTCTCCACACAGCCTGTTCATCATGCCAAGAAAGTGCAGGGCTCGCACGGAGGCTCTGGGACGGCGAAAAACAGGCCTGCCAGAAGTCCAGAAACAGGACTGTTTCCGGCCTCTGGAGAACCTCCGGAGCCCCGGAGAGATCGTTTTCACCCTCCTGGAGGCTCGAGGAAAGCCTCCGGAGCCTGGGGAGGGCGAAAACACAGCGCCCTCCCCATCATGGTGCTGAGTAGGTCATGCCCACCATGGCCATGCCCACCCAGCAACTGGGCAGAAAATCGGTTGCTAACATTCTTCAATCCCACCCCTGGAGCCAGGGAGAGAGGTTTCTTGGGAACTTGCCTGTTTAATAGAGAAGGCAACTGACCTATAACTTGGGTTTGCTTATTCTGCAGAATGTTGTGACTCACTGATTGTGGTTGGATGTTATTTTCCTCTTTTTTCTGAATTGGGGATATTTCCTGGATTGTTTTTAAGCAGACTTACTGTATTTTTTGGAGTATAAGATGCAACTTTTTCCCTCAAAAAAGAAGTTGAAAATCTGGGTGTGTCTTATTACACTGAATATAGCATTTTTGGCTTCCAGAAACTCTGCCCCCTTTGCAAAAATGGTCACACATAGCCTTTATGAGGCTTCCAGAGTGCTCCTGGGAGCTGGGGGGGGGCACAAATGAGTTAAAAATGGGCCATTTTTTGCTCAATTTTGTCCCCCCAGCCGCCAGGAGTACTCTATAAGCCTCCTAAAGGCTATGCATGCAATTTTTTTGACAAAAAATGGGCCGTTTTTTGCTCATTTTGGGGGGGGGACCCACCCCCCAGGAGCACTGTGCAAGCCCCCTAAAGGCTATTCATGCCTTTTTTTGCGAAAAACTGGCCGTTTTGGGGAGGTTTGCAGACTGCAAAAACTTTTTTTTAAATTTGCTTCTTCAAAACCTTGGTGCGTCTTATACTCCATTGTGTCTTACACTCCGAAAAATATGGTAAGTGCCAAAGGCTCCCTGTTTTGCAAATGAACTATTGCCTTTCAGCTAACCACAATCATGGCCGCTTCTTCTTTTTAAAATGACGACTCACCAGATCTTAACAGGGGCCATTTAAGGCCTTGATCCAACCTCTTCGGCAGTGCAAAAAAGATCATTTAAAAATAGCAATGAAGGAACCATACTTGAAACTCCCCCCCCCCACACTTTATGGTATCATATGAAATGCTTTGCCAGACCATAAGTTATTTGCAAGCCTGGAATTATGTGAATGGCCTTTATAATCAGCCTTTGATGCCTTTGTTTATAAATCTTTGCCGGTTGCTAACGTTTTAAAATAATACTCAGCGGGGAGTAGTAGACTTTAATTAATATGTCTGCATTATTGCTCAGTTTAAAGTTTTTAAGTGCGTGTTACCAGTCTTCTTAACTCTTGAGCAAGATTTGGACTCGTTCCAGCTTTTGAGCCCCCAGGGGTAATAAAAATTAAACAGGCAACCTATAAAACACGGAGTGAGATATAATTTAAATATTTTTTAAAACTACCCACATTTGGAGCTCTATTTGAATTCAGGGCTGAAGCAAAATGGTTCTCTTGTATCTGTCCCCCCTCCCCATGCCTCCAATCCAAATTACAGTTTTCATTAGCTCCAGCCTAACTGTTTTTACATAGGAAGCGATGGAAGCGATATTCATTTCTATCCAATTTAGTGTTGAAATGGAAACACTGTCTGTCTGTCCATCCGTCCATCATCCTCTTATCTATCCAAAGGTGGTATTCACTTAACTCCCCTACCCGTTGTCAAATGTGAGTCCGTGTACGCGTTCAGCCCTCCACGCATGCACTTTGGCTTAAAAAAGGGCCTAAATGATATGCCATAGAGCCTGGGTGAGTGGGCGGGGCCATCCACGATTTCGGCTACCGGTTTGAAATGGCAGAATACCACCTCTCTTTGTCTGTCTACTGTGTTTCCCTGGGTACTAATTTCTTTTGACCCCTGAAATAAGCACTTGGCCTTATTTTCGGGGAGGTCTTATTATTTTTGAGGTGCAGGAGGTGGCGAGCATGGTCACTTCATGGCTGTTGCTGTGTTGCAATATTTTCGGGGAAGATTTGCTTTCGGGGGAGGGCTTTTGAGAACGCATGCACCCGCAAGACCGATTGGGCTTATTATCCGGGGAGATCTTATTTTGGGGGAAACAGGGCATCTATCTATCTATTNATGAATAATGTAGCTGTCCAGAGACAGGATCCTTTCAATCTTCTCCTGGGGCAGAGCTTCTACATCCTTATTCTCGGGGCATCTTGTCCAGCCTTTCACAGATAAGCCATGCTTGGAATAGGAACAATGAAACACTTTCTTCATAAAGCCTATGATAGACTTGTGAATAGATAGAAAATCACCATTTGGGGCATTTCTGTCAGTCTGAATTAAGAAGGAAATATAGCCATAGATGGAGGGAGTAATCCATGGGGTGAACTGTAAATCCAAATTAAAATCCCACAAAGTTGAAGTGATCCATACCTTTCCAGTTGTGGCTTTTGTGCAGATTTCAGCTATTTTCTGCATAATCATTATTCCTGTTGTGAAGGAATCCATCTCCACTGAGTAAACAAAGACATTGACTTGTGTCCACTGGAAGAATTGGAAACAATCATACTTTACATGATGGGCATCCACAGGGATTCTTTGGAATAAAACAACACAAATGCTGTTCCTGACAAGCAGAGGGATCAAACTTTTCATGAATGTTTCTCCACCATCAGAGTCTGGTGCAACCAGACCAACCAAGGTCCACCTGAAATGGTGGAGCAGTTTGATGATTGTGGGGTACTGAACTCCTTCTTTGGGGACCATTTGGTAGAGAAAAGGGAAGAGATATTTGTCACTCAAAGCCTGTGGAACAAAAGTAAAACTGACCTGAAAAAAGAAAAAAAAAGTTTGGATTAGATGTTGAGCCAAATCCAAGCCAAGATATTAGCAACTATGGCTCTGTGTATGTGTGAGGAGGTGGGGTTGTTCCAGCATAATTCTGGAATGCCTTGAGCAATTTCAACCACACATAAACATATTACGTACTCTCTGGAAACAAATACTGTGGTGGTAAGACACCCCAACGCACCTCAAGGGTGGTTGTTCTGTTAAGATGAAACCTGTTGTGCCTTAAAATGGCTTTTACTGTACTGCTTTAAAATGGCTTCCACTGTACAGTGCTGTGGAGTTGCCATGGCAATGGCTTCACAGTAATCCACAAGGGGGTAAGGGGGAAAATCCAACATTAGAAATTGTGTCAACATTCATGGAAGAAGGGTTGGGATAAATAAATACCCAGGCAGAGTCAGGTTATCAGCTAGTCTATGATAAAAATGATGTTTTTTATATGATAGAAGCACCTCAAAATTTCTGGGAAGACTATTTTCAGGAGATTAGTCTTTTCATAGGCAACCTTCTACCTAGCCTAGACTATGAGATGTTTCTTCCACAAATAGGAGGAATCTAACTAGAATAGTGTTCTAGATCAGGTTGTTTTAACCCTTTGCTCTCTGGGTGAGTCCAATTGCAATAAGCCTATTATTTCCATGATCATAAATTGCCCTTGAAGCTCATGGAGGATTCAGAGCAGATTTAGACCCCACAAACACATATGCACTCTCTCTCACACACAGACAAACCTGCAGAATTTTATATATGCCCAGCATATCTACTATCTGGATGGAGATTTCAGTTTTGGACCCATCAAAGATGACCAAGGGTCTCTTATGTCTTCCACATCTGTAGTTTGGAATATTTGTCTTGCCAGTAGAAAGCAAATCCAGCAGGGTATCCGAAGTCATGATAGTGCTGAAATAGCTGCCATAGATGTTGTAGCCCAGGGAGATTTTATGTAACAGCTGGAGATCCTGGTTGATCTCCTGGGTGGCAAAAAGGAAGGAGAGAATTTTCCAGGATAACATAGATCCTGTCCTGAAAATATATACATCTCACATCATTATAAATGTTAAGATCTCACCTTTATGTCTTTTTACTACATAAGGGTTTTTAGCCTGTAAAAATCTATCCCAAATCACCAACCAAAATGTCAAACATCATTCTGCATATACAGTATTAAATAATGAGCCATACAGTTTAATGTCTTCACCCTCATCATTTAACCAGTAGCCTTTGTAAAAGAGTTTTCTGAGCAAATATCTATGAAGTTAGGAAAAGTAGTAAAAACCACAAGAAAATAAAATGCACTAATATGTCATTCAAAAGTTGTCTTATAAAATGGGGGAAATCCCATTGCAATTGGGCTCTTCAAAATCAGAAGAAGTGCTACAGGTTTTGGATGTTCAATGTCCTAGAATTATCCTGCAGAGACACCCAGAACCTGGATGTGTTCTCTGATGGAGACGGGCGCAGGAAGGAGAGCCAGGGGCATCTACCATTGATAGTCCTTCAGTGGATTATGCCGGGAGGGTTAAGCCAATGATAGGGTGATAGGGATCCAGCCACTGCCAGGTTTCTCTCCCTGTATCCACTGATTGCTTTGCAGACCCTGAATTTCACCCACTTTATCCTAAGAAGAGACAGACTTTCAGAAGCCATCAGCCAAGGAGTGAGCTCCATACCCCATACAGAGTGGCCAAAAGGCAGCCCAGCAAAAGAACAGATTTCAGAACAATGTATCTTAACCTTGGTAACTTTAAGAGGTCTGGAATTCAACTCCCAGATTTTTTTCCATCCAACTTGAACTCCGGACCTCTTAATGTTGCCAAAGTTAAGGAACACTGATTTAAGGGGTAATACAATTCAAGTGCACATTGGGGTGGAGGCTCAGCTTGGTTCTTTCTTGGCTTCCTCCCTGGATGAAAAGACTGAGAACTTTTCTTCTCAAGCTTTTGCATTGCTGTGTTTAGCTCGCTGTGTCGTGCTTCCAACTTTAGATTCCATCCCAGCATGTCTCTGTCTCTCCACCCCACCATACCCTCCTTGGATTTATTGACTGATCATTGGATTCCTGGTCTCGACACAAGCCGAACATGTTTGAGTACATTTTCAGATGCTATGTTGAAATCCTAGCAAAAGCATCTCCCTCTCTCTCTTTCTCTCTCTCCCTCCCTCCCTCTCTCCCTCCCTCCCTCCATCCATCCATCCCTCTCCTTTCCTCCATCTCAAAGCTTGCTATCTTCTCTGCAAGTCTTGGCACAGACACCACAGATGATCTCTAAGATCCCTTCATGGTCAAAAAGGAGGGTGGATGGCATCGAATGGTTCAATACATTTACAATGTAGGGTGAAAAAGGAGCTTCTTGACAGATGGCCAAACAGACTTTGCTGAGATACTTCCAGGGAGAGAAATCATCCCCTTCTAAGCTTTGAAACAGATCCCTGCTTCCAAAAGGGTCCAAACGGTTACACCTCCTTCTGCCTTGAAATGTTCACCCCTTTCTTTTAGCTCTGCAAGGCTGGCTGTCAGACACCGGGAACCAGCTATCCCATGTTTCCACCATCTTTGAGAAAAGAACTCAGAAGCCTGAAGGTTGTGTAGGGGTTGATGCCTTGCACTGGTGCACCCAAAACCTACCAACATAAGTGATCGAGCAGGAAAACCGGGAGGTGCCTGAAAATGTACACAAGAAATCTAGCTGTTGCACCTTTTCGGCTCTTAAACTGATGTCAAGAAGAGCTGTGTTTTATCACTTTCCTGTCTGAAAAATCCCTGCAAGCAGTTTCCTCATGAATTTCTATCCCCAGCGCAAGAAGACAGCAATGGATGAAACTGTGCAATGACAATTAACCATTAATTAATGGTTTAATTAACCATAAATTAATTTTACTGATAAGCAAGCTTTGGGAGGCAGGGAAGGAAGGAGAAGGAGGGATGGAAAGATTCATGGATGGGTGGGTTTGCTAATAGTACTCAAAATTGTCTGCTACAACAGTGTTTCCCAAAGTGTGGTACGCGTACCCCCAGGGGTACGGGAAGAGTTTGGTGGGGGTACGCGTTGCACCGGAGTTTGGTGGGGATCATGTGGGAATATCCACTGCACCATGCTTAGCTGCACCCACAGAA